TATCATGTTCAGTGGGTGCAGTACCTATTGGAGTTGAAGGTGTTGGATGAGGTTTTCTTGTTGGTTTCTTTGTTTTAATTTTTGTTGGTGGACCACGTTGTTTTGTGGTTTTTCTTGTTATGATTGGAGGAGCTGGAGTAGTATTTCTTTCCGGCTCCGGTTTTGGTTCTAGATCAGGTTTTCTTGTTGTTCTTTTTTCTGGTTCAGGTTGCGGCTCTGGTTCTGGTTCTGGCTCTACTTCTGCCATTTTTATTGTTGTTGTGCGTTTGGTGGGTGTAAGGAATGGTTTCCAATCATGTGGCCTTTTACAACTTTGTGAATCAAAATCAAACCAAGTTCCACTGCCGCATGGCATTAATAGTGGTTCATGTATATCTAAGCATTGATAATATTTTGTTTTATCGTCATGACATGGCCATAATATACCCAAATCGCGTTCAAGATGACAATCTGGTATTCCAAAAGCTGAACTTGAATCGATTAATGATACAACCAGTACAATTGATGAAAAAAACAAAACTAAGACTGAAAGTTAAAAGATTAACAAAAATTTAGTAAATGGAAATAAATTTAATGGAAATTATTTAAATTAGCGATGAATTTATTTTTGGTTTGTGTGAACTATAACTATTTCAAATATTTTATTATACATTTTTTTGACATTTTCGTTTAATCGAAATCTTAATTTTACTTCCTTCTAGTATTCTTTTTCTCCATTGAAAAAGTAATAAATTCAAAGTGTTTTGTATTTTATTTTAAATTTATTTAAAACATTTATTTTGTTCACAAAATTTTTTTTATAATTATAACAACATAATAAATATCTAGATATTCAATCCATAATTTTGTAACAAAATTAAATATGCGTAATTTTATCTTTTTTATTCATTTATAAATTTTGTAGTCCACATAAATTTTTAAAATTAATTTTAATTATTTTTCTCATATTTTATAACTTTTAAGCACTATGTGTCAAAATGGCACTAGATTTATTTTATTTGTAATATTTTTATTTTTTCATTATTATTTTATTTCACTTATACAGTTTTGTAATTAAGAATCCACAGCTCACATATAACGGTTGCCTTACCTTTCATATTGTTTTTTCAGTCGGCATATAGAATTCGTTTTGACTAAAAGAAATTTTTTGATTTTGATCTTATATAGGAAATTTTAGATCTTTACATTAAATAAGATAAAATTTCTATGTTAAACATCAAAAACGACACGATGAGATCCATTAAAAGATAAAATTTTAGTAAAATGTATATAAATGTACATACAAATTTATATTTTCGACAAAATTTTCTAAAAAGGCGGCACCATGAAAATTTTCTACAGATCACACCTTTATAATATGAATGAATGATACCTGTATAAGGTTTTATTTTTAAAAATTGCAACATATTGTTGAGTGATGTTATTATTATTAAAAATCTATATAATATATATTTACATATGAACATATATATAGACATTTACGTCAATTCATATGAAAAAATTTTGAAAAAATTTTAGTTAAAAATTATTCTAATTGTTAATTAGAATAATTAGATATAAATTCTAAGAAAATGTTATATTTATGTAATATAATGTTACGGTGCTGTCTAATTCGAAGAGAAATAAATTATTCCCGAGAGACAAATATTATTTACAAATCGTATAATGTTTTCATACAAACATACATAATATAATTCTATTCTTCATAATGTAGAATTCAAAGTTGTAAAACATATAACTGAAAAATATTAATATTGTATGTAAATAAAAAAATTTTGAAAAATATTGAGAGTATGTACACAGCCATAGACATAATGTGCATATGTATTTCGAAAATAAAGGAGCAGAAATTAAGAAAAAAACTTAGGAACTTGAAACAAAAAACTGTGAAACTTTACTACCTTTTTTAGAAAATTCTTTTATACAATATATTTACACTCATATACAAGACTTTGAATTAGATTCTGTAAATTTTTTATTGATTTTCTCTCTAAAACTGTGAAGTTGCGAGTAGTCCTTGAGCCAACCATAAACTCGAAATTTAGAATAATAATAATAATTGCAACATTCCACAGCCATTTGCAATCCCCTATTCGGTTTTGTAAAATTTAATATTTAAAATAAATCAAAGAAATAAATAGAAATATTTCAAACTGCTTACTTGTTTTTTCACTCACAGAATTTATATATCACAAATAATTCAGGAAAAAAATTTACTATTACATAATATTAGTGTAACATTACATAAATACATTAATTCGAGATAAAGTGGTATAAAATTCTAGGAAAAGCATAGAACAGAGTGGATTAAAGAGTCCAAAATATACATCACAAAACAGATCAAAACATGGCAGAAAAGCATGCTACTAATAAAATTTTGGCATTTCGATAATTTGCCTACGAATGCCAAATAGCATCAATTTAAATTGCAACTCTGTATTTTTCTTATATTAAACGATTGTTTTCGAAATTCGCAAAATTAAAATGTTAACTTTGACAAATTAAAATTTTATTGTAAAATTAATGTAAAGATTTGAAAATTTTTCAGCAACAAAACTGAATTAATATTATATTATGGTCAACCGCATATACATGCAATTATTTTAGTAAACCTGTGTACGATCATAAAGCTCAATTTTAATCAAATTCTGATCTTCAACGTTTTTTAAATAAATAAATGTATATATGAACATAAACATTAGAACAATAGTGCAATTTTATCATTCAAGTATTCCCACTAAAATAATAAAAATCCTACAACTGACATCATTTTCAATTCGTAATCGATAATTCTCAATATTTCTTCCTTAAAAAATTTAATATATTTCTGTGTATGTATACACTTATTGATAATAAAGTTTAATTTTTTTTCTAGTATTAATTTAATAATCTAACAACATTGTTAATTGAATAATAAGGAGCTCAATATAATAGAATTTTGGCGCTGATAACATTTCCGCGTAAAATTCATAAAAATAAAATAACATTGTTAACCATTACCAATAGTACTCTATTTTTCACATTCAATACACCCATTAACATCTTTTACATTGAACTTTTATTCTTTGAAAAGCACTTATTGAAGTGAAACATTAAATTGAATTTCAAAAAAAACGAAGCACTTGAAATAAAAAATGTTATACATAATGTTATACATTATTTTCTATATACGCATATACTGGCTATATAAAATAATTTTTTTTTATAAAAATACAAATACATATTATACCTACATACTTACGTATATTTAATTTTTAAAGTTATTCTTCAAAATAATTATCTTATCTCATATCAATTCTTTGTAGTTCAATATCGTCATTAAATTATTTTCACATAACAAAAAAAAATTACAAATGGGTATTATTTTTTCTAACACATCAAAAAACATTTATGAATAAAGGTAGATGTACGTATATATATATATATAAATGTATGTGTTTATATGTAATCATGCTTAATATCATTTGGATGCCTATACCCATGTAAAAAACCTTAAAAACCAAGATTTTACAATGCGTTAGTGAAAATTTTTAATATAGTATATGCACCCTTTTTAAATGCATTTGAAGAAAAACAATTGAAAGTTTAAGAATTATCTTAAGTTTAAGAATAAAGGATAACAAAGGATCTAATTGTATTCTTTACTTTACTTTACTTTACTTTTCTTCTCTTGAATGCACACTTTTATTTTTTTATTAAGAAAAACTTAGCACCAACATATTATTATCTTCCATATTCTTTAGCACGCCTATGTTTCATAGATTCGGAAATTCCAACATTTTCGTATACAAAAATATTTCAGGTATAAACAATGTAAATTCCAAAATATATTATGTAAAATGAAAGTCATATCTTCGATAATTAAACGATATCATTTTTTTTATTTTTCTACATACACGAATATTTTCTATCAAACATCATTTGGGTTTCATGTTTTTTTTTGTAAAAAATTGGTTGTTAACTGCTTAAAATTCTAACTGACGTAAAATTTTTTTTTATTTTAATTTCAATTTTGTTTTTTTCTCTGTCACCAATTAAAATTTTATAGAAGCGAAAAATCTCCATTGACTCGGAACAAAATCAATTTTACTACTTACATATATAATAAAATTTACCTATTTTCGTTACTGCAATCAGATCTATGTGCATCATCTTAATAATTTATGATACTTTTTGATAAATAATGTGTAATTAATAATTAAATTGTACATTATTTTCAAAAAATTAATATTAATATATTTTTAAATAGCTGAATGAAAAATCGAATATTAAAGTGCATGCAATAAGTTTACTGTGGTTGTCCTTTTACCGTAAGTGATTTACCCTGAGATAAAAAATTAAAATTTTATCATCAATTAGAAATTTCATTAATATAAAATAAAACAATTATTACTTGACTTTTTTAAAGTGATTTAAACACGAATATTTTGATAGTCCATTGAATCAAAGCGAATAAAGTTTAAAAAACTCAGCCAGAAAGATTCTCAAAAGCAGAAAAGCGACGTATAGAAAACGCAAAACTTCTAGAAATTCATAAATCTCATTTAACGTTTTTATTTAAAATATTAAGTATGTATAAGGATTTCTAATGCCAGAAAATACCAAATTACTATATAATTACAAAAGTACATATATTCTTTACTCCTTCGTTAGATTTGTCCGAAATTCATGAAGGAAACAAAAAAATCGAGCTGCAGTATTTTACAAAATTCAGTAAATTCGAATCCAACCAATAATTTGTAAATGACATAATTCCCTTAAATAAAAAAATTATTATGATTATGTAATTTAAATACTAAAATATTTCATAATTCTTGCATATCTTCTCGATGGACAAGATCAGTTAAAAATGAATTCTTAAGGAGTTAATAATTATAAAAGTCATTGCGGCGCGAAGAGAAAGAAGATAGAAAAAATTTTTCTTTTAATTAAATTTTTTTTATGCCTACAAGTTTTACTAAAATTCCTATAACTTTCTCTACAATTAATTTTACTTTCAGGCATACTATTACTGGTTAAATGACATGTACATGGACGTTCGGTTAGCATTACCAATTAATTCTAATCCAGGAATGGTAATGCCACCAAGAAAGTTTATAACAGTTCATGATGTCGCCCGATTTGGAGCAAAAATTGTCGAAGGAATAATGCAACATAAAGAAATGCTTGAAAGGTATAATACAATCACAATTTTACAATTAATTTCATAAATCTTTACCTTGCTATCAATGTTTAACATGACAATTACTAAACATCTTTCAGTAATCAGTTACCTCAAGAACGAGCTGCAAATCGAGAAAAAAACCAACCATTGTGTATGGCACAATATTATCGTTTATTAGGATCATGCCGACGACCAGGTGTTGAGCGTGATTCACAATATTTACCACCAAAGGTTCAAGAAGATCACCATATTATTGTTATTTGTCGTAATCAAATGTATTGTGTACCATTAAAAGCAAATGATCGCGGTAAATTGACCGAAGATGAGGTTGCTTCACAAATTCTTTTTATATTAAGCGATGCACCATGTTTACCAACACAACCCCCAGCTATTGGTATATTAACAGCTGAACCACGTTCATTGTGGGCTAAAGATAGAGATGTTTTATTACTCGAAGACACAAATCAACGTAATGTTGAGTTAATTGAACAGGCATTAATTGTATTATGTTTAGATGAACCATTACCCGGTACATTTAATGCTCGTGGATTTGCTGGAGCAACTCCATCATTGCATACAATTGGTCATCGCGATGAAACAAATATGGCACATGAAATGATACATGGTGGCGGTAGTGACTTTAATTCTGGTAATCGATGGTTTGATAAAACAATGCAAATAATAATTTGCAATGATGGAACATGGGGTTTATGTTACGAGCATTCACCATCTGAAGGTATCGCTGTAGTACAACTGATGGAAAAAATTTTTAATGATATTGTTAATTCTCAAAATGAAAATAATGGTGTGCCACAGCATCATTTACCACCACCGGAACGTTTAGAATGGCAAATACCACCGGAAATTAATAAACGACTAGTTGAAGCCCGCAAGAGTGTAGATCGGTAAGAAAAAGATTATTAATTTAGTTTTATATTTAACTTTACTATTCTAATATTACAGGCGTATTGACGATTTAGATTTTTATGTGTACCGTTATAAAGGCTACGGTAAAACCTTTATGAAGTCCTGTCAATGCAGTCCCGATGCATATATTCAGTTGTCTCTACAACTGGCACATTATAAGTGAGTTATCAAAAACCTTATTAGTTCACTTTGACCTTTTTATATTTTATGTATTACTTTCTTTTAATAATCATCAAAAACTTTATAAAAACAAATTAACCCATAATTTTTTTACGAAACTTTATATGTATACTTATTTAGAAGGAACTGCCAATTTTTTTATACAAAATATACCGTAAATTGTTTAGTTATTGTAAGTTATGAAAGACCAATATGTAGCGAATTTATTTAATTAGAATATAGAAAATGATATCCTTAAATACTTTATGTTAGTTAACTGGATCCCTTGAATGTTAAAAGTAGAAAATGTATGTTTTTGATATAGACCTTTTATTAGTTAATTTTAATCGAAGTTTTATATTGAATCCTGTTTAATTTAATTTGTTGAAGGAAACAACAGCATGATATAAAACAAATTAAAAGCTCCGTGGAAAATCACTTTCGTTAAAAGCATTTTAAAGCCATTCAGTTTACAAAAAACGATTTGGGCAGAAATAAATCCTCACTTAGAAGAGTATGAGTATAATAACAAAAATAGAGGTGTATTATTTTTGTAAATAGCCGGTATATATCACAAAATAACTTTTTTATGCAACTCACCTATAACTATTGGGCATTTAACCCAAACCCATGCCTGCTTATGAAAAACTAAACCGACTTAATCGACATCATGTCTTTCAAATAATATTGAAATCTTTACAAAAACAAATGATTTGAGAAAAATCTGATTTATCTGTAAAATCAATGATTTGTAGTTAAACATAATCACCAATAGTGTAATCATTATAGTAAAAGTGTACATTTCATTTACATATGTGCATATATACATGCAATTTCATGTAAATGTTAACAACAACTCGCCGAGAATAATATATTTTATCTGTAATATCACAAATTACCCGGTCAATATTATTTTCCGAGACTGCTGTCAGACAGCTAATATAAAACATAGAAGAGATTTCACTAATCTCCAAAAAATATCCTATATGTGTCGAATAACAAGATGTTGGTGCACTATTCACAACTAAAAACTTTCAAGCTAAAAAATTCTTTTGCAATGAAAAACAAAACAAAAAACACAGAGAAAGGCTACTTTTGGGCTTTGCCCGTCTATTTAAGGTGAACTTCCTTTTCCAATTCTCAAAAACGGCTTTAAACAAGATTATATTTATAGTTTACTATATTATAGATTACTGAAACCGGTTCAAATCTCTAGTTCTCAAATCTCCAGTTATCAAATCTCAGCAGTAAGAGATTGGATCGGCTTAGAATTCTACTTTGAAGAAGAATATGTATACTTGGACGATTTGAGGGATCCCTTTTAGGTTTCTCAAAAAATATTCCAAATATACCGCAATCTGTTACACCATTGCATGTTTGAGTTTTTTGTATTCATTATTAGAAACCTATACCCATTAATTATTAGTTTAGTAATAGTTATGTCCAACATATATTATTTATATTAAATCATTATTTACATTTATTTCTATGTACAGGCGACTCGATGGTACTCTCGTGTGATAGAATAATCCAGACGAAGAAAAAACATTACGAGACATTATATATTTTTAGACCCTCCTTCTCGAGTTATAAGACTTCAAAGTTTCTGAAAGCCGTTCAATTTTTGCATTTTTTACTAATATCTCAGAAAATATGATATTTATATATTTCAAATTCCATGAAATTTAACTCTATGAAAGATATAAGAGTTGCATTATATTATGAATAGAGCCATTCTCACTTTTATAAGGCATTGCACTTTAACTTGGCTTGTGACAAGTCTGCTGTAGTTTTTCTTTTATTAAATATTTAAGTTCATTGACATGCAGTTAGTATGAGTAAATGGATGATTAAGAAAAAAATTAATGTAAAAAATTCTTAAAAAATCTGACTTTACATTCAGATGTCTTTGTAACTAAAAAGGACTTCGAAACCATGGGACAAACCATGGACGCCTCATAACTCGAGAAAGAGAGCAAGTAAAGCAAAATGGCACTTTATGTTTTTTGACACCCTGTATAATATGAATTGTACGCATAAAAACTGTTCTGCATATAAAATTCGTACTATATGAAAGCACATCAAATTATTAAATGCACATTACATTATTGAACTCAAACTTAATTGCTAAAAAATTAGTAACATAAAACTAAATATTTTGTATGCTAAATTTATTTTGTGTGGTTTACGATTACAATTTGACTAATTTTGTAATAGTTAAGTAATTCACGTTTTCTGAAAAAGGTTCAGCTAAACTGGACTGATTTATATTTCTTGTTCAACCTATAATTTTATTTTTTGTTCAATTGTTGTGCGAACCGCACATAGCCTCCAATTAATACAACTATTTTTTTTTGTTTTTCTTATCGTATAAAATTTACGCTAGATTGTATGGAAGACTAGTTTCTACATATGAAAGCGCTTCAACAAGGAGATTTTTATTGGTACGTTTAATATAAAAAAAATAAAAATTTAAACCTTCAAAAAAACAAAAACAAGCAAATAAATTTAAAAACATTTAAATTTGAAAATTATAGGGCCGAGTAGACTGTATTAGATCGGCTAGCACAGAAGCTTTAGAATGGGCAAAAGCAATGTGTCAAGGTGAAGGTCCTGATGTTCCTCTTGAAAGCGATCGAGAAGATGAAGCAACTTACAACAATAGAAAAGTAAAATTCAGTATTTACTCTGTATGAAATTTTCATTCACCTTTTCCATAAAACATTACCAAATTCATTTTTTATAAAAAATGAAACTTTGGCATCTTATAATAAATTAGCTCACAAAATTTTACAATAACAGAAAATTTAAATATGTATAGCAAAATCAAACTAAATTCACACACTTGAAATATTATAATATGCAGCCAATGTTACAATAATCTGTACTAGTGTAACTTAACAAATGTATAAATTTGTGAGCTAATTTGTTCACCTTAACGCAATATATTTTCTATTAATATTCAATTCACTTAACAGAAGGAACATCTTAAGGAACTATTTAGATCTGCGGTTACGCGCCAAACGGAAATAATGGTGCAAAATATATTGGGCTATGGTATCGATATACATTTATTGGGATTACGTGAAGCTAGTCGTGAACAAACTGGTGCTATACATGAACTATTCACTGATGAAAGCTATAGTATAGCTAATTGCTTCTTGTTATCAACAAGTCAGGTGTATTTTTTATCTCTTCTGTCGTTCTTTTATTATTTAAACAAATTATATATATAAAACTTAATTCTAACTATTTTTTAAATTACAAAAAAGCACAATTTTAAATGGAGATAATATGTACTTCTTATGTTTGAAAAAAAAAATTAAATCACAAATCACAAAATGCACAATTTATTGCTATAGATCTGCACCATGTCATTTTAAAAATTCAGCACATTATAACACTGTTATTCGAAAGATTAAGTAAGAACAAAATTATGTGTTTTAAATTTATGTATGTAGACATTTAATGAAAATATTAACCTAAACTATTTTATATTAATATTTTATGGTATTATGTACATGGTAAAAGTTTCTTGAAAAATTGCGTTAAATTTAAAATTGATTTTTTTTTTATTTAGGTGCCACTTAAAGTAGTCTGCCGCTTAAATTAGTTTTAAGGCGTTACCGTTCTAATTTTCCTTTCTTCAATCTATAACCCATGAATAATGTTGCGTAATTTTTGTTTTTGTAGCGACTTTTTATTTTTATTTTCATTTCATATTGTTTTAGGAAAATTCAGCATTTTACGTATGTAACCTTACGCTTTTCTATTACCTATACATATATTGTCGGATCGGTTATTTTGGCTAATGAGTTGCAGTGACCGATTTTCCAGTTCTTAGCACAATGATGCCATTTTCCTACCATCACCTGTGTATTCGATTTGGGCTAACCCATCAGAACAGTTTTTTTTTACGCAACCCATTTAAATTCCTAACAGTCTTTTTAAAAACTTCCTCTACCTTAATCATTTGCATTTTACCCGAAAGAAAACAACCTGACTCTTTATAGAACCATATAAGAATTCGCACAGATAGTGAATATATGTCCCTTTTTTATTGTATCTATTGACAACTGTGACCTGGCGAACTAAAAAGTAGTCTCAACCTAGTTGCATGGCTCTCCAAGAGCTATTGTCTCAAGCAGATGTCTATAAATATTGGCAATTTTGAATTTTTTTTTTTTATTGTTATTTATTTTCAAATTAACCTTTTTTGGTTGATTTCAAATTGAAATATGTTTGTAATACCAGTGTTCAATGTTATAGATTGTGGATTATAAATTTTTAACAACAGAGTGAAGGTGCACCTCAAACCATTATTAGTTGGATATACCACGACCCTCGACCGCCGATACCTTTTTTAATAAATTCAAATATCTTGCGATGGTACATTTTTCATAGCCCGTCCGCTGATATTCAGTGATACTTATATACATCAATATCTACATTTTTAAAATCTCAAATGATAAATGAAAGATGGAGACAATTAAAAATATAACGCGGTGAAGAGTTTTTAAATCCTATACCCGCTATAAACCTGTCGTAGCAAAATTTAAAACAGTACTCATGAGTATTGAGAAAAAAATTAATGAATACTAAACAAATGAATAAATGAAATTATGAATAGTAAAAACCTAATGAATGATAGTCGTATTTTATAAATTTTTGAACATTAAAATTAATTCGAACTGAAGTAGAAGTAGACCATGCAGCTAACAATATTACAAAAGTTTGACATTCTAAGTCTTAATCTTTTCTAATTTAGTTTTTCCTACAATTTTTTAATTCATTATAATAATATATACTATTTTATGTATGTATATATGTATATTTAATTCAGAAAGATAAAAATATTAGTATTTTTTGGTGTTCACACATATACATATGTACATAATTGATGTAATTTATTTTCATTTTTTGATTATACTTCTTTATTTCTATGTACATATATATATATATATATATATATATTAATTTTATGATACATGATACAATTATTCTTTGCAAATAATTTAAAACATTATTTTAATATACAATCAATTTTTTTTTTGTACATTTTAAAATAAATATTAAAAAGGTTGCTTGCAGTACAGATAGTTTTATGGGATATGGTCCTGTTACACCAAAAGGATATGGTTGTTCATATAATCCATATCCAAATGAAATTGTATTTTGTGTTTCAGCATTTTATTCATGTGAGGATACGAGTGCATCACGTTATGCAAAATCTTTACAAGAATCATTGGATATGATGAGAGATTTACTTAAAAATTAAATTATCCATATATATATACAAACAGATATATATGCATATGTATATATTAAATCCTAAAAGCTAAACGAAATTACAAAGGCAAGAACAAAATAATTCTGCAGCTTTCGTAAAGCAAATATAAATTTTTATGAGAAGAAGACGTTAGAACAAAAAAAAAATAAAATTTGAAACAAAAATAGCAATAAATGAAACTTCTATTGAACCAAAATTATATGTATATGTTAAAAATAAAAATTATATATACTAACATATATATGGAAAAAAAAAGAAAATAATTTTAGCTTTATGTTAGAAAATACAATATTGAAAAAGAAAATCAATAATATAAAAATTATTAAAAAAGAAAAATATTTAAACAAATCTGAAACAATGCATATCACATATATATATATATACCATTAACAATATTTTAATAATATAGAGAAATAATAAAACGAATTAAACTATTATATACAAACAAAATATATACGTACATATTATGTACATTTATGTAAAATGAAAAAAAAAAATTATTTTTAATTAAAAAAATAATAATAAATTATTGTTAATGCCTTGAAGAAAAACTGAGAGGAAACTATAAAGAAAATGTTAAAACATATCATTTTAGTCAATTTAAAACTGAAGATGAAACAATATAAAAATATTATACATATTATACAAGTTTAGAACAAAAAAAAAAATATATATATATATATAAATATCACCTAGTTATATAATTATTTATTTATATTAAAATGTACATTATATAATCATACATGTATAAATTGTGTTATAAAAAAAGAAACAAACTATACATACCTATTAAATAATATACGTTATTAATGGCATAGAATTTATAAATGTAAAAGTTATGCATAAATTTTAAATGATGAAATTTTATAAATTAGTTCCACTTCCCTATTCTTATCATCTTATTAAGTCTTATAGAATAATGGTTATATTTTCTCTTAATAATTTGTTTACTTTAATATACTGCGTTGTTGATATTTTTATTAAAAAAAAAGGACAAATTTTTCAAAATTCACCCCAAAATGTATATTCAAACAAAATTTAAAATCAACAGTTATTAATTAAAACAATTTAAATAAAAAATGTTAGTGAATCTTAAAAAATATTTTATGTAACATTAATAAAGCGTAATGCAGTGAACTTTTTATATACAACGAAAATCTTTATTTAGTGATTTAATTGCTTGAGACTAACACTGTTTTTCTATTTAAAAAATTACTGTTTTATTAAATTCCTATATATTATAAACCTATTAACAATACTTTTGAGATTTTAATTATTTCCTATTACGGATATTTCACTTTAATATTTAAAACAAATGTATTCAAATTTGGATTAAATATGGTGAAATACTTCATTATCAACGAAAACTAAATTCAATGAAACATCAAACTTCTATAACCTAAATCGTATGACATAATAGATAACTAAACAATTAAAATAAACAATTTTTAATTGAATTTTTCAAAATATGGAATTTCGTATTAAAATAATATAAAACAAAAAATTAAATTTAAATATTTAAAAAATTATCAATATTTGAAATAACATTAACATTGAACTCTTTTGAAGTTGAAGAAATAGTTTTTTTAATATTAAACATTTTAAAATAAAATACTGAAATACTACATATAATCTTAAGGATTACAAAAAGAAATCGAATCAAATTTTTACTACATAAAATGTTAGTATATAAAAATTTGACTGTTTAAAAATAGAATTACAAAAAAATAAAAAGAAATTCAAAATAAATAGCTACAAAGTAATTTAAAAATAATTTATATGGGTAAAAATATACATTAAACAATATTGAAACTTCTAAAAAATATTTTTGCTATTCTTGCAATTAAATTAACTAGGGCCAATCAAATATACGATCTGGAAAATTTGTTCACCATTTTTGTTACCTATACAGCCTTAAATATGTATATAAAAATGAGATTACGTAAACAGGGTCCTAAAAGTATTTCAAATTTTCTTTGTTACATAAAACCATTATTCTATTGAACTAAATTTTCCAATTACGATTGTCTCATATATTTATATATATATATATATATATATAATATTTTAAAATGAATGCAATATTTACACAAATAAAAAAATACAATATGTATTTATACCAATATATGTAACATATAAATACATATACATATACGTACATATTAAATAATTTATTTAAAAAAAGTAATCTAATTTATTTTTTATGTAGAATTTTTTCGATATTTTTATAATGAATATTTAGTCATTAATTTAAATTGTTTATAAATATTTGTTAAATATTTGAAAGTCAATTTTAATGTTTTAAAAATATTTCTTTTATTCGAAGTTAAACAATATCTGTTATACTGTTATATAACTTTATTAACATGAACTACCACTTATATTTGTATAGTGATTTTTTTTTTGTTTCGTATATAGATTATCTTAGTTTTCTCTACGGGTATATATTAAAAACATTAAATTAATAATATTTTTTATATTCAAGTGTTTGTTACAATTTTTAAAAAAATATTAAAAAAAATTACTCAAAATATATAATTAGTTATTAATATCTAATATTCTATTATATATAATCTACACAAGACTTATAAATGTATGTAAACACATTTATTTTTACTATAAATATATTATATATAATATATACATACATCTTATGTTGTTAGTTAATTTTTGAATTATATAAATAAAATTACATACACATTAATTATTATTGTTACCTTGTTAAATAATTAAAAAAATATTATATTTTATGCAAATAACATGTTTTAAAAATTACAATAGTATATATACATATATGAAAATCAAAAAAAAAACTAAATATATTTCATTGTCATTATTATAGTCGTTATAATATGTATTTAAGGAGAAAAAAAAAAATTATTTGTATATCAAGTATATGAAAAGTGAATTAATTTTTAAATATTTTCAGAATAAATACCAAAATTTATATGAACCATTGCTTTAATGTATGCAAATTAAAATCTCGCAAATTTTTTTTTCACCAAACAAAACAAAGGTTTATATATATATATACATATTATGTCTATATTTAAAATTTAAAAATATTGTCCCTTCAAAATTCAATCTGAAAAAAGAAAACAATAATTGTTTTATTAACACAATAACAAAAACTATAGATATATCTTAAACATTTACAAAATCTTTAAAAAATATAAAATATATTATTTATTATTTACAAACTATTTAAATCTTATGCATTACAAAAAATTATTAAATGAAATACTAAAATTTATCTCCCCTACATATGTTTTTATTTGGAAAAAATCCCCTATATTAATGAACAATTTAGTTTAAATAAAATGTGTTTTAATATTGCATAGTACTTTAATTCAAAATTCGAGTATATTCGACATATAATTTAAATTTTTTTATAGATAATTGATTAATTTAATAATAAAAGTTTTAAAGTATTGAAAGAGATTGATTATAAAATGATGAGTAAATCCTAAATATCTTAAACTACTGAATGTTTAACCCTATATATAAATAAAGTCAAAGAAAACGAAAGAAAAACATATTGTTACTTTACAGTTATATACATTCTTATATAATAAAACTTGAAAAATAAATATTTTTTGCTGTAAGTCAAACTACATCCTACATTATATTGAATTTCTTTTGTGTATTTTTTATACTATAAGAATGTATAAAAAATATATGGTATATAAGTTTTACACCATTGTATATTCTTTATTATATATCTAGTTATGCCAGATGTTTTTTAGACTGAATATATTTTTTAAAAATATATTATATAAAAAATTTTACATTCAACTTGTAAATTTGATAAATTTTTGTCTTAAAAAAGTGTCGTGATCGCAATCGCAACTATCATTTATCAATAATTTTAGTTCCAAGTATCAAACTTTTAAACCTTTTTAATTTTACATTAAATAAATAAAAAAATTCTTGGTTCATATACCAAGACATTTTTTTCATTATTACAATAACATAGAATATAAATATGATTCTTATATACTATTTCTTTGAAAGTCATAGTTCAACCTGTTCATTTTAATTTCCAAAAAATATTTTTTAATCAAATTCAAACTTTTAAATAATTTTTACCAATTTTTCATAATAAATATTAAAATAAATTAATCAAATTTTTTGAATTCAACTGAATGAACAGAAAAATTCTCCCAAATATTATCTTATATATAAGAACATCGGTTTCAAAACCTAACAAGTTTTATACACACACATCCATATCTACATTATAATATTATATTTAGTAATGAAATATGAATGTTTTCTTATTTACTATATTCTGGTATTTATTAATTGTTTTTATTAAACCATTATAAAATTTTAATTTAAAAACTTAAAATATAAACAAAATAACGAGTTATTGCAACTATTGTAAATTTTAATATTGCTTAAAATTTGTTTAGAAAATCCTATTTACTTAGATTTAATAATAAAATATCAATTGTTACACTAATTTTACAGATAAGCATATTTGAAATAAAGGTTTTTTGAAAAAACAGAAAAAAATACATATCAAATCCAAATTATTTATTAACAAATAAGCAAAATAAACGAACTAAAAAGAACAAAAAAATATATATACATACATATACACAACATATCAAAAATTATATTTTAAAAGTAAAAAAAAAATGTATTGTAATTAAAAAAATAATATTATAAATGTAAATGTATTTAAAAATGAAAACGTGTTCAAAACCTAGAGAAAATATAGTTAGTTGTAGAAAATATATATGTATATCTATATAATTTATTTGTACATACATATTATATACATAATATATCTATTTATGTATAAGAATATGTATTTTTTTTTAAATGTAAAAATCAACGCTTAGAAGCACTACTAGAAAGTTTATTTTTGAAAAATTTTATTGGTATTTTTAGAGTTAAATAATAGCCATAAAAAGCCCATTATAAATCAAACTAAAAAGAAAATTTGGTACTTTAAATCTGTAGAATAAGACCAATCACAACCTAGACAAAGAAAATTAAAATTTTAACGAAAGTAATTTCTCTTTATCTTTAACATTTCAAACTTTACTGCATTTTATTTATAGCAAAAATTTTATAGGATAAAATCGAATGTATAAAATAAGTTATCGATTCTTAACAGCCTGTTCGTGTATCTCGGTATTTTACTCACTTTTCATTCATTTTCAAACCAGAATTCTCAGTTTTTTCTAATGGATATTTCACTTTTCCAATAAAATTCCTTATTTTTTTAATTGGATGTTTGCATTTTTCTTCAAAATATCAACTCGGCCTCTCACTTTCAAAAACAAAACGAATAAATGTTGTATACATTTTGGGAAAAATATGAGATACGCAATACCAAACAATTCTTCTCACTCGAAAATAGTTTCCCATTTTCTTTTCACTTTCCGAGTAAAATAGCGAGGTAGACGCATCAGACCCTAATAATCACGTCTTATTCAATACCTATAAAACAAAATATGTATATGTAAATGCTGCAGACACTCATATCTACATATTTACTTTTTACTTTTCATCTTTATTATTTCACAATTGCACACATTATGCATAATTCTTATATTATTCATTACATTATTATTTCGTAATGTAGGAATTCCACAAACAAAAAGTTAAGAAATTTAGCAAATTTATGTAAATAAAAAAAATATTTAAAATAGACAATATCAGACTTTTATTAGACTCTTCAGATGACGAAAAATTAATTTAAATATATTAAGCTAAATGAAAATTATAATTACATAAATGAATTGTTGAAAATTAAGTAGAGCTTATAAACATTTTCACGGTTCTTTCATATTCTAAGGTTTAATTTTGCAAATAAATAGAAGAAAAAAAGCAATATAAATAAACCTTAGAAAATTAGGGAATTTTCATTTAAAAAATTTTCTACTTAAAAAATGTTTCCTAAACCCCCAAAAGCGCAACCGATGCAAAAGAAAGTATTTTTGACTTTTAAAAAAATCTGATATATGTAGATCCAAAATCCAAAATAGAATGAAAATTTAATTAAAATTTAACATTGAATAAATTGAAGAATCTAACTAATTTTTTAATAACAAAATATTATAAATACTATTATAAAATTATCATTAAAAACAAAAAAAAAACTTTTTGAAATGTTTTATTAAACATAAGCATAACCAATTTCGGCATTTGTCTCATAAAATATCTTACTCGTTCATTTGACTAATTACACAGCGAGAAAAAAATCAACAAATAAAAAAAGAACCTTACATAAGAATTTATTCAAATATTTTTGGTCTGGTTGAAGCAGTTCTAGAATAAGAGATTATGGTACTTTTTCAACCAATTTTTACTTTTTATTTTCAATTTAAATTTCGATAAAAAGCCAATTTTTTTTAATAACTAACATTTCGAATATATAAGTATGTACATATATTAGCATTTTTTCAACAACTCAAAAAACAAAAATAAATTCCAATAGATTTCCTAAAAAAATTTTGTAACTAGATTTGGTCCCTATATTAATAATCTTAGTTTCCTGCTGAAAGTGGGAATATGTATGTATTTCATGAAATTGGTCTGAATATTTGAAAAATTTTCTGTTTAAAGATATAATGGGCTAGGCTAGTAAAAGCATTTTGGATGTAAAATGTTGTAAAATAAAAAAATAATTGATGTGTTTTGATATTGTATTATATACACACGCATACTTACATATATAAAATATATATTTAATGTTATATGTTTGAAAAACATAAAAATAAAAATTGTCAAATTATGTACCTACATGTATATATGAAATAAAAAAATATGTATTTCAAAATGACTTCTAATATATATACATACGAAAATTTGCAAGCAAATTTTGTTTTTCTAGCTTTTTTTAATTATTTATGTTGAAAATTTATTATCAACTAAAGCTTAAACATAAAGTTTTTAATGTTTGATATTATTGTACATTACTTCATTATTTTATAGCTGCTATAGCTTTTTTTTTCTTCCTAACACGTGCAAAGGAACTCAACTAATTTATTAAATAAAATATTATGTATGGTCTCATAACTCTAAAGATTAGAATTTTCGGGTTTAAATTTGCCATAGAAGCATGTTTTTAGTTTCTAAATAGGTATGTAACTCATTTTTTTAAAAGGTCCATTGTTATTTGTTAGCAGATTCAATAACTTTACTTATCTGATTATATAGATACAGGTCGAAAGTTACGTTATCATTTTCCTTAGCTCTTCATATATCAAATATTAATATATTCTTTTAAATAAATTTTTCCAAAAGTGCAGTAATATTCATTAAATTGGTTTGATTTGTCAATTTTTTTGTTTCTTTAAAATAGTTTTATAGTCATTGAAAAAATGTTATTAAAAAGCTTGATTTTTACACACCGATTTACAAGCCTATCAAGTGTAAGCTAACTATTACGATTTTGAAAGTAAGACACATTACGAAATTATAAATTAAAAAAAGTTTATTCTAAGAACTAATAATTATGTGTATGTAATTTTCGCAATAAATTCGCATTCATAAATTTCATTGAGCAATATGTATGCAAGTTTTGAAAAGGTTCTTTAGCCTGTAATACTTAATTTACTGATAATTTATATTCTACGGAGATATAACCAATTTCAGTCGTTATTGCAAATCAAATCAATTTAGTATTTTATGAGGAAAAAGTACAATGTGAAAAGTACTAAAATAAGTTTGTGACTACAAATCAAATTCTTTGATTGAAATAAAATTACTAACTGGCGTAAAGGCAATTACAAAACTAATTTGGTAATGAAATTACCGTTTGTGCTTGTATAAATATATATATATATATATATATATATAAAATTACTAAAAAATAAGCTTTATATGTTGAATACGCAAAATAAAAAAGTAAGGAAAAAAAGCCCCTTAGTTTTTACAACTTACACACCTTTTTTTTAGTATTGAATATCCGCTATTATCCCGATTCCAGTGTTACCCTAAAATTTTTTTTTAACTACATTTTCTGCTTCATCACTACTTACTTAAAATCCAAATACGCGTTTCGGATTCGACAGTACATATTTTCAAATTGCAAAACTGCATTTCGGAACATGTGTTTGCATTATTTAATATTTATGATTAATTTTAGATACGTATATATGTACATTTCTTTGCATGTTAAAACAAATTCCAATACACTTCTATTCAGGTTTGATAAAACTTTATTTTTAGCTTTCTAAATTTCATCTAAGTTATAAAACATACTGAAAAGAAAAATTCGAACTTTTTGAAAATATTTATAGTTTAATTCAAGTTTTAAAATGTAAAGGAAACTAAACAAAAATTCATATGGATTGAAATTATTTTTTCATTAATTCTTTAAATTTTTCTTGGCATTCAGCGCTAATATAATGGTCAACCAAACATTTGAATTCTTCTTCAAATAATCTTGTAAAAGTTTCATTTGTAAAGGTTTTTATACATGATTGTTTCATACTTTTATATGCTTGTTGTGACAATGAAGCCATCTTTGTTGCGGTGTTTATAGCTTCTGCTTCAAATCTTTGTACCGGGAATATTACAGATAATAATCCTGCTGAAAGTGCTTCACTGGCAGTCAATTTCTCTGCCAGATATATTAGCTTCATTTTCTAAAATTAAAACAATTTTTAAGTCTATTTGATTTTCTGTCAACTTATTTTCGAACTGCTAACTTATTTTCTGTTATTTATTTTCGAACTTATAGTATATAAAATATTACTTACATATTTTTTATCCATATTTATCGTATTTAAAATACAATTTCCTTCTGGAATTTGTCCAATTTTTGAATATGTCATTTCAAAGGCACATTTATCGCTTGCGAATACAAAATCAAACAGAGGTAACATAGTAACACCTAAATTTGAAACAAGTCCACCTACAGCGGCAATTATTGGTTTATTAAAATTAATTAACGCTTCAAATAACAATTTAACATTCTTAGCTAATTCATTAGCAATAACTTTTCGTTTTTCAAGTGAAGGTGTTACCAAACAGCTAAAGTCAATACCCTGACAAAAGTGAGCTCCTTTAGACGTAACAACAACAATTTTGCACGTATTATCTTTTTTTAAATGCTCCAAAGTTGAAACAAATTTCTTTATGAATTCTATGTTGAAAGTATTAGTAGCGTTATCAGTTTTCAAATCAATTATAAAATTAACAACTGAATCCGATCTTTTTAAAATTACTTCAATCTCAGGCTTTGGTTTATCTTCGGAAACTTTTATAATTTTTTTTTCAACTTTTTGAGGTTTTAAATTTGTACTTGATGAAACAAGAACTTTATCGGCATCGGATGCAGACATTTGTTTGTTTAACTTTTTAGTAACGCTTGTAGGTTGCAACGTAGGGGATGGGGGAGCCAATTTCTTTGTCTCTGCAATAGATAATTTTTTCACAACTGGCAAAACTTTTACAGAATTTTCTGAATTTTCTATAGTCGTAGCTGTTACTTTCTTTAATTGAATTTCTTGCTTTCTTTTCTTGGTTGCAAAAGCTTTAAGTTGTTCTGCTGTAACCTTTTTTGAAATTTTTATAGATTTCGGGGAGCTATTTCTTTGAAGTTGCTGTTGTAGTTCCCCGCTGACACGTCTTTGACTAGCAGTACTTGAGTAAGAAGAAGATCGACGTCTTATAATCATCATTTCGTCAGACCGCCCTTTATTAATATAATCCCATGATGATGACGTTGATCCCGCTTGCTTTGCTTTTGTCATCCGCGGCTTTTTAGCTACACAAATAAATTTAGAAGAACATAAAATTTAAAGAAATTAAAATTTTTAAGAAAAATACCTTGAGGAATCTCTTTTGATTTAACTGGAGAAATCACTGAGTCCTTTGTACTAGATTTAATTGTAGAATCAATTTCCTCAGAAAGAATTTCATTTAATGCTTCTTCAAGTTTGTCATTTCCTAACTTATCAGGACTGACTTCTTTTCGTTTTCTTCCAGAAAGCGTTGTTTTTTTTTCAGTTGCTTTTTTTGTAAATGATCTGTTTTCTAATTTATTAACGGATCCAGTAACTGCCCCTTTTGACGCAACCCTTTTAGTTGTATTTTGTTTAGTTTTCGGTTTTATTAAACTGGCATAAGAAAATTGAGTTTCCGGTGCATCAGGATCCCAGATAATTTTTTTTTTAATAATTCTAGATCGCTTAAACGGTGCAATACCAGTTGTTAGCTCTGGTTTTTCTACTTTAATATCAATATTTTCGACTTCTACCTGATCCTCATTAGAGTTTGCTGGTGCAGAGACTACAACTACTTTAGGTTCCAATTTTCTCTTTTTGATATTTTGTTTCAGACCTTGTTTAGGTATTAATGTCATTTCAATTTTTTCCTCCGAAATTTCACGTTCATTATCGCTCCATTCCGACACAATTGCGTTTATAAGTTCATTCGTACTGCTAGTAACTTCATTTGTATTTGTTGTATTGCCCATGTTTAGCTTAAAATTAGACTTTCTCGATATTTCTTTCATTTGATCAGCAGCTATTTTAAGTTCTTGGTTTTTGCTTAACAAAACTGTTGTTACAGTTTTTTTATTTCCCGTATCTTCAATAACCTTCACGTCCACTTCTGTTTCTTCATCTTGATTATTTCCTTCTAATATAGCCAATAAATCTGCTTCGCTTGGTATTGATTTACCAATATTATTTAGCAATCTCTTACTGTCAGGGTTTGGTGATTTTGCCAATGTTGCGTTCAAAATTCGAGGAGCCTTTTTTTCTGACACAGTCTAAAATGATTGATGTTATTAAAAAAATTATTTAAATATCTTATTCAACTACCTTAACTGTAACAAGAGATGCATTTGAATTTTTTCCGCCATTCCCCGATTTTGCTATTTTCTTTCTGGTAATATTGTTTGTTTGCAAAAGTTTGTCCAGTTTTTCTAATGCTTTCTGATTTTCTTGAAGTTTTTTGGCGGATTCTGTGGATTCGGTTGAATAATGCAAGGATTCTAACGTTAATATAATCCTTTCGTCATCTGTTTCAGCTGTATTTGGCGTATCAGGTTCATTTTTCACTTGAATTGGAACTGTAGGTGACGCTGGATCCGCAGGATGACTGACATCGTTTTCATTTATGGAAATCGCCGCTTCCAAATCATCTAATACCGATTCCATTTAATATTTAGTTAAAAGTTAATACTGTTTTTAAAAACACAAAATAAAAAAGTATTTATGCATGAAAAATACGAAAATCAAATTTGGTTTGGTAATTAGACGCAAAGAATATGATAACAAGTCTTTCCGCCATTAACATAAATATCTATTAAACTCACAATATATTTAAAAAATACAGCTCTCTTATGTATCTTTTTTATAATAATTAAAGTTTTTTTAATTTGTACATGCAAATTGATACATGAATTTCATGAATTACTTCAAAATTAATAAAAGCCGCTTTAGCATTCCTATTAAATTTCCAAACAAACTTATTATTTTATCAACTTTGACGTGAGATTTTGATGAATTTGCTGAATTAGGGAAATTTTACTGGCAGCACTGTTAGGGAAATTTATTAATTTATAAGTCAAATAAAAAGAACGCTTCAGCAGAATGTAGTATTCAAGCAGGATATTGACAAATAAGGGAATTACATCTTTTCATCCTTTACAATGAGCACATTTTATTTTTAAACAGCTAATTATCTCTCTGATTGATTCCAAGATCAAAATTAATTCATAAAGTTCAAGATTTAATTTCAAATTATTTAATCTCAAATAATATTTCCAATGTATTTCCAAAAAATTTAGTTGACTTATCCTAGCAAGAGATATATATATAACTCAAGACTTCTTAAAATAATTAAAGAGCAAAAAATCGCTTTCAATTATAATCCAACACAAATCAAACTCCAGAAATAACATGAGTTTGTTCTCAAAAATAAAAAAAGTATAAGAAAATTTTTTGTAATTACACAATAAAACTGCTTTTTTCAGTGGCGCTGTTTTAAATTAAAAAAACCTAATACACATGTATGTACATGCTCACTAGTGCCACTCAAAAAAGTAATTCGTCGTGTATAATTACAAAAATTATCTTCTGTTTATTAGAATAAACTGCATTTGATTACAATAAACAATGCATATACACAATGCCATTACCACAAATCTGATTTGAGTCAGTCATTCAAAAGTCTCATTAAATCAAAATTATACTGCTTGATTTCTTATATCGTATTTTTAAAAAATTTTATTTTTAAAGTCTCTTCGAATTATGTTTGATAAGAGTTTATCGCAGAAGTGTATTTTGGATCAAAAAACAAGTAAAAACGTTTCAGTCGATATAAACCAACCGAATTTTATCTTGCACCTTGGCAGTTGGTAAACTGAATTTAAAATTTGTTTTTGAAATATCTAGAATTAGCTTTAACTGTTGTAACCAATTATTCGAGTCTGTCAAACCACTATATAGAAACTGTACGCATATGTTTGACCTATAATTCGGCACATGAATGCCAAATTCCATGAATCTAGCTTTATTATTTTCCAAACATTTCAAATTAACTTTTGGGGTTGCATGGCAGCTACCCGAAGCAGCGCAGCCATTCCATGAAAATTTTCAGAACATATGTAATGTGTAATCGGACACATCTTTGCAAAATTTGATGTTAATATCTATATTAGTTTTTGAAATATTTACAAAACCCTCTTTGCCATACAACCACCCGAATGGCCGGACTGGAGAATTCCATACTGCGGATGACTCCTTTAATTATGTATTTACAAATTTCATACCAAAGTGATAATACCCTTCACGAAGCTGCAGAGGGTAAAAATACATTAAAACAGACAGTTTAATAAAAATTCAATTTTCTATCGCCCAATAGATAGCACAAAAATTCGTTATCCAGCAGAGCATTTATTTCTTAGTAACTACATATGGCTTTAAAATTCGAAAAAGGAAAACCATAAACAAAAATTAGCTATAATTTTTGTTTTTGTATTTTTTTTGTTCTTCATAATTCAAATATTTTCTTAAAAGAAAAATTGTACATGTATATTTAATTTAACGTTATTTTTTAACTTGTAACTATAACGATTATAAGAAACTCAGATTAGTTCCACTTGTGCATAACCATGAGACTTATAAATATGTATGTACATATGTATGTACATATTTTGAAATAACAAAAATATCGTTTTAATATTATAAATAAAAAATAATGAGTTTTGTTTAAATTTGGTTTTCTTTTACAGATATGTATCTGAAATGAAAAAATAAAGCATAAAATTTTGGTAACAAAACCGAAACGTAAAGGGATGTAGAATAAAATAAAATTAAGATCTTTGAATTTAACATACATGTATGTACATACATAGCTGCATACCAGCGATCCAAATTCAAGTTTTATAATCAATCATATTTCATGATTGATTCATTATAGTATTTTTCATACAATCAAAATAATATAATCATCGATCATGTTTGATCATAGGTTCGAACAAACTGGCCAAATATTAATCAGATTCAGTCATGATGTTTGACGATATTTCTTTTTACAAAACTATGTAATAAAGCTCTGTTTCTTTGAAATCAGAAGTGGTAAAGACATAATAAGGCGAATTGGCTGTATAAAAATTAAAATTTTTACTACAGTTACACTTTCAGTGCAGACATTCTTAATTCTAAAAAAAAAATAAACAGTCTTAAAGTTTTTTCTTAGAATAAATTTTTTCATTTTACTATAAAGAACTGTAAAAATTATAGCACTCATAAAATATTGAATATTAATTTTTTCTACTTTGAGGGAGATTTATGATGTTAAAAGGTCCCCCATAGCTTCCATAAAAATACGTATAAATTCGTTAATTTCGAATCCGTTTGGCTTTCTTCGTAAAAATCTCTTGGCTTTCTTCGTGAGTCCGGGCCTGTATATAAAGTATACACTAAAAATGAAAAATTTAAAATTATATTCTATAATTATTTGCTTTCTTTCAATTTTGAGTGAGTTGTGCGTTCTTTAAAGTTTAATGCCGTCGTCAACGTTAGCCACATAAAAATAAAGTACAAGTACATCTATATTATAAGATGTACTCTTATAAGATATCCTCCTGTATGTTACCACAATGCTATTATACTCATTTTTGCATATTTCAAATAAAGAAAATTTTACAGATTTATACAATTTTTTGTATATTAAATATAGAATTTATTTTCTTTATATATAATTATTTGTCTCTTAATTTAAGATACATAAGTTTATTCTTAAATTTTAAAATATGCCTATTAAAAACACACAAAAACATAATAAAGATATACACAATTTTATAATAAAAAAAAAGGAAATCAAAACACATTTTAAATGCAGTAATTTTTAAGTGTATACAACATGAATTTATATATGTATAAGATTTCTAAATATCAGCTGCATTGTAAAGCAAAAATTATTAAGAATATTACTTTCCAAAATCCTTAAAAGAGTTTCTTACAATCAAATAAAACATCATTAAAAGCCTTTATATCATATAAAAAGTTCAATTACATTAAGGATTTTCGGAAAGATTTTAAGCAAAATATTAAGTGTTAAAATACTATGAAAGCATTAAAATCAATTAAATTGTTCGTGATTTTAAAATGATTTTTCTATAATTCTCAGTCTTAAACAAAAAAAATTAAATAAAATTGCCAGCTAGATGAAAGCAAAAAACTTAAAACACTTATTTTAAATTATTGAATACAATTTGAATATTGTACCTTTGTATTATACTAAATTTTTTTAACTAATTTATTTAGAGAAAGTTTATAATTTTCATTAATTTATATGCTATGTTTATATATTGTGTACGCATTATACACACATTAAGATTTAATCATTATACAACGATTAAATTTAAACATTTTTCTATATTAGGTTTGGTTATAATATAAGTTAAATCTTGATATATATCTTATGTACATAAAGTAAATAATTTTACTTATTTAAACAATGCATTCTTTTTGAGCACAATTCTGGTATAGAAGCTTTGACAACTTTGTACTTAATAAATTATAATTGGTGTCGCTTTCTTGAACATTTTAAAAAGAAATTTAGATATTATTTCTATGGCTTATTTCTACGTAATGATCTTCTTCCACTTTGACTATCAATTTTAATTCTATTCAAATCAGTATCAATTAAATCTTCACTTTCTGAACTATTCTTTACTTTACAGAAATTGTGCTGTAAAAGTTCAGCAGCTGTAGCTCTCAGTTTCGGATCATGCTGTAAGCACCTCTCTACGAATTCAAAACCCTCTTGTGATAACGATGTTGGTATTTCCGGAGTTTCACCCATGCCAACTTTAAACATAATTTGAAAGTTTGAATCAAACTGTGACCATGGCCTTTTTCCTGATACCATTTCAATTATAACGCATCCAACTGACCATATGTCAGCAGCTCGACCATGACCTTCAGAAGAATTTTTTGTAAAGACTTCAGGTGCCATGTATGCCTGTGTACCCACATATCCTTGCAATTCACCAGGGACAGTTGTATGAGCTTGAATTTTAACAGCCGATCCAAAGTCACCCAATTTTAGACTATTTCCACCATTTACTAAAAATATATTTGCCGTTTTAATATCTCTGTGAACAATCCCATGCTTATGTAGTTCTTCAACACCAGACAATAATTGGGCAGTAAAACGTCTTGTTAGACCCTCATATAATCCTCCTGACAGCTCTACTAACGATTCCAGTGTACCTTCAGAACATAGTTCCATAAAAATCAAAAGTTCTTCTCTATGTATTTCTATTCCGTAATATTTAATCAAGTTTGGATGTTTAATTCCTTCTAAAATCTTTAATTCCTCAGCAACATTTTTAATCGCCCTTGTTTCACCAGGTTGTATTGATATTTCTTTCATTGCCATTAATTCTCCAGTGGAATTATTTACAGCAGTATAAACTTTTCCAAATCTACCTTGCCCGATTTTAATTCCACGATGCCAATGAAAATTGACACTTCTGGCCCTTATTTGAACTTTGTCACAAGAATTTAATGTTTTTACTTGACCAATTAGATTTCGATCTCGTAATCGGTTTTCGATTTTCAAATCTAACTGGTTTACGGCATCGCGAACTCTGATTTGTCTCAGAGCTAAACTTTCAAGATTACCATTTGAACGAGGAACAATCAGAGTGATTGGATTTAAATATAAACCTAAAATTAAAGTAAAATATTTGTTAAAAGTCAAAGACGAAATTCATAATTAACAAACCTGAATTAGGATTATCTGTAATATCACTAGATTCTACAGAACTGTTTGCAGATAAATTTTCTTCTTTAAGGCTGAATTGAGGTAATAAAAATTTAGCATTAACTGTCATTCCAGCTGATATGGAAGCTCTAGTGGGAGTTCGAGATCGCGAAGGAGCTGGACTTGAAGTTTTTCGTGTTCTTGGCGAAGCTTTTTTTTTAACAACTTTTTTCGCAGGCTCACAAATCCCAATAACATGTGATATACATTCATCCATTTTAGATTTTAGTTCCTCGAATTCCTTTTCATTCAAATGTCTCGTTATCTGAGGATCACATGCCAAAATTAAAAACTCTAAGCCTTGATTAGCCCAGCGGGGTCTTACACCGGATCCTCGATCGCAGCGTTCCATAACAAATTTCATCCACATTTTGGCAAATTCAATAATACCAAGAGCTAAATCTAAATCACTTTCAGTATCTTTTCCTATCATCACCTTTTGCTCAAACAATCTAATAACATCTTTGTTGTATTCGAAACCGTACTTAAATCCTTGATGCAGGATTTCCCGAGATCTCGAAAGTATCGCCGCAGTATCTTGTTCGTCTAATTCTCCCATATTATTTTCATTACATCTCTCTTGCACTCTTTCGATAATTTGTATTAATTTTTGTCGAATGCTGAGAATATCTTTCTTTAATTCCACAAAAGCATCCTCAATCTTAGGGCAGTTGAAAATATTTTGCGAGGCTTTCTTAGAGAGAAAGTCTTCACAGTGATCTCTATGAAAATCATTTTGTTCTACATCACGGCAAAATGATTTTGCAAAAAACAAAACTTTAATAGATCGTTCTCTTTCAGTTGTAAAAAGGGCTTGAGTTTCTCTGCAAATAGTTAGCAACTGCCATTTTTTTTCTTCTCCTTCGACAGTTGGATCTTCTAAGCGACCATCAAGCTCAAAAGCTCTGCTCACTAAATTTTCACTTATATTACGAAGTAAATTACGAATAATTAAGCAAAATTTTTTTGCTGCAGTTATATGCATTTCGGGTATCATTGGGCTCACCAATTTTGTAAAAGTCCACTCTCTTTCTAAGGCTGACTTTTGATGAGTTTCCGGTGCAGCAACTAAGACCCATTGATCAACATATTCTAAGTATAACTGAAATTTATTTTTAATTAAAAAATAATACGAAAAATTTGCTAAAGACGATTCATACCTCTAAAACTTTCTTAACCGTGGCGTCAAATTGATCTAGTAGAGCAAAATATTTATCTAATTCATTTTCGTTTTCAGAAAGTGCTGTCGTAATATGGCTATAAAATCGTTCACGATGAGTCAACGCTAATATTAAACCTTCTCTTAGTTCTTTCATTAATTGCTCCAAACTTAATGGGTTGGGTTTTGAAGGTCGGGTTTCAAGTCGCATTCTTAAAAACTCGTGTATCACTTCTAAAGGTACAACAGAAAGAAATACGAACGTTGGTTTATAGGATGGCAAATTAAGTGACTTTGCTTCTTCGCTGTAAAAACCGTATCGACGTAGTTCGCTTATTTGTTCCTGACCAAGCCGAGGCTCTAAACTCTCATCCAACTCGTCTTCTTCGTCAAAATCTATTTCACATGGATGAACACTATTTTTCTTCATATTTGATTCTTCTGGCTTTTCTAAAGCAATTTTAGTTTTCAGTAATACTAAATTGTGGAACTGATGTAGAAATTCTAACGATTTCGCTAGGCCACGCGATTTCAGAACATTTTCAATGTATTTCCTTTGTGTTAAAGAAGAAATTTATTTTGCGGTTCAAACAAATAATTGATTAAAAGTACCTGTACAATTTTGTAGAATTTTCCATATCACAAGAAATGTGCATTAAAGGCTCAACATTGAAAAAGTCTACATCACTAACCGATCTTAAATATTCAGCTACAATCGAACCATCTGATTGATTGCTTGAAAGTGCCTCGGGTCTAGACCTGTAATGGCAAACACATATGATCAACATTCAAGAGAAAAATTCAAAAAACAAAAATATATTACTCATTGCTTCCTGTACTATCACTGGGTGTATGATTTGGACTATCCTCTACATCAAATTGTACTTTTGGAGAGTCTCGTTTTCCTTTTAAATTCATTGATTTAGAATCAGTTGAATATTTTCCGGAATCGTTATCACTTTCTTGTATTGCGGAGTTTGATGAGTTTTCAATATAAGAATATTGAACTGGCCAGTTAAATTTTTCCCCTTGCAAACGAGCTAATATTTTTCCCAGAATAATAAGCTTTAGGCGATGATGCCTTGTAATATTAAACCATAAGCACATTGCTTTTACGCGACCAACAAACATTTCTGATTTATAAGCTGGATGAAAGTTTCCCATTTGCTGTGAAGATGGATATAATGCTTCTGCTGCTTCAAGACGAGTTAAAAGCTCCTCGACTTCTTTAAGTGCTTTACTTTGTTGTAAATTACAATCATTACAATATAAAGAAAGGCAACCGGAACATCGATTTACTAAAAAGAAAACATTTTTTTTTTTAAATTTTTTTTTGTTATACAGCCTTACAATATTCTGATGATGCGGTTGAGTAATTTCCACTGTCATTACTAACAACACTGACTTCAGTTTTATATTTAGGTCTGAACCTAAAATTATAATTTCAAACATAAATTTGTTTGATAAAAATAAAATTTTATATTAGAATAATTTGAATTAAATACTTGAAGTTTAAAATTTCATTTAGAAGATCTGGAACTGCTTGTCTTGCTGTAAACAGGTATTTGTCCTGCTGCTCTAACGTTCGGTCAGCTTGCCAAGCTTGTAATTCTAACCAGATCAAGTCTTTAAGTTCTGTTTGAAATGTTGATTCTTCATGAGTTATCTAAAAGTATAAATTAACATATAACTTACATTTTTTGTCGATAAAATAAGATTGAATGATAAACTCACTTTATCTTGCTGTCTATCAATACTTCCCAATTTAATCAAATTAGCAAAAGTTTCGTGAAAGTCTTTTCGGGATTGAATTTTTGGTGAATCGTTGCGCATAACACTCCCAGTTTCAATTTTAAAATTGTTTAAAAATGCAACTGGAGGTGCTGAAACTCTGCAACCTATTGGACGAGAAGAAACGCTCATATAACGATTATATGATTCAACTAATGTCGGTACACCAGCAGTCGTATTTGAGTGGCGTAGTTGAACACCAGCTATGTTGAAGTTATCATTTTCAAAATTATTGTTATTGTTATTATTGCTGTTGTTATTGTTATTATTATTCATATTATTAATAATATTACTGATTTGACCAGGCGGTGATTGTATTACATGTGAATTACTGTTTGTACGTAAGAGCTGATTTTCATGCAAACTGGTGCGAAAATTTGACGGTAAATTTGTTAACGCCATTGAATGTTTCTGGTCCCGTTCAGATTCTCTTAATAACTGCTGTGCCCGTTTATCAACACGTTTTGTCTCCTCATTAATAAACATTTCATTTAGTATAGCACAATCCATTGTGTTCCGTCTTTGTACGCGTGCTAATCTGCGACAAAGCCGTCCGGCTGGACCTTTTGGACATCCATCTGGACCTAGTGGTACTTTTTTCCCTGATTCGCTGTGGTGAAAAAATTTATATAATATAAAGTAAAATAAAATCAGGGGGTAATAAATAAAATTAATTTGTAATGCAATATATAAAAAAAATAAAAGCGAAAACAAAATAAAAATGGTAAACAAAATGAATTTTTTTAAGTAAAGGAAAACGAAAAATAATTTTTTTTCTGTTGCTTTGTAACAAATTTTTCCAGAATAGACTTAAAACCAATTACCAGCTAACAAGTTGAAATTATTTTAGTTAACTTTATAAAATATATTTTAATGGAAGTGTAAGCATTCGACATATGTAATCTACTATTACGAAATTTTTTAATTTGTTTCTTCATAATAATAATTACATTTACATGATATTGAAATTTGAAAATAGTATATAATATATTAGTTTACAAAAAATATGCATAAAATTATAAAAGAATAATGTTAGTAAAAATTCTGTTGTCCCGAGCAGATATTTTTAACACATCGAAAATATAATTTTTAAATTATTGCTCAAAATTTATTTATAATTATTTCATCTTTTATAAAAAATTTAAAACTTCATATCACTTTTAAAATTAAAAACCTTTCCATGTTTAAAAAAAAATTTATGTATTTTTTAATCAGTAAAACTTAAAAAGTATTTATTAAAGTTTAATTTAATTTTAATCAATGAAATTTTGAATCTTCAATACTTTAATATTTTAGTTTTTTGTAATTGATATTAGAAACGGAAAATAAACATAATATTTAAAAAATTTAAAAGAGAACAAAAAAACCTAAAATAATAAATATATACATAAATAGTTTTTTTATAAATCAATTTTTTTTTTGTTTTTCGTACAACTTTTGCTTTCTTTCCCAATCACGATTTTTAAGTTTAATCCTCGTCCGTGGTGGTGTATTACCATAATCGGCAAATTCTGCAACCAAATCATCAATTTCATCATCTTCTTCATTAAAAACATTATTGTTGCGTAAATTATTATTATCTCGTCCTTTATTTATTTCAACTGAAATTGTTTTAGATGTGGTCCTAACAATAAACTCAGTTCTGAAATAAAATTTGATTTTAAAATATCCCACATAATATTGGAAAATATAATAATAAAGAAATGACAAAATAATAAATACGGATGATTCTTCATTATTTCCGTTTTATTCCAAAATAAACTAGAATTTTCATTGTATGTATATTAAAAATAAACGAAAATGAAATATAAAAATTTGAAAGAATTAGGAGTATAATGTTATTGAATTGAAGTGAACCACTAAAGTAAATTTATTACATAAAACTGTGCTAGATTTTCAGTGAAAACCAAATTTCTTTATTATTTTCTAATTTTTTCAAACGTGTTTAATTGTTTGCTAAGAAAAATTATCAAATATTTTCTATTATTCCAGTTTAATGTACTATTTACACAGAAATTATGGAAATTATTGGAAAAAAATGAAGGTGGTATTTATTTTTTATTTTTGATAAGTTTGTGATTTACATAGACGCTAATTTAATTAAAAACCATATCTATCAATACCACAATTTGAATAAACATACAAGATAAATAATTATTGTTATCAAAAAGATATTAAGATATAAACCCGGAATATAATTACGATATTTCATGCATTTGTTAATAAGACATAAGAAAATTAGGTGCTATAGATTTCCAATCACATAGTGAAAATAAACAAATAATCAAAAAAAAAAAATATAAAAACTCTACTTAAAAATTTGTACTTGGTCAAAATTTTATTTCTGAAAAGTTTATTGAATTAAATACATCAATATAAGTATTTTTATTTACTTAATTTTTTGTATTGACTTTAATTGCATATAATACATAAATATATATACATGCATGTTGTTAAACAATAAAATTTTAAAATTTTTATTAAAGATTATATTTGTATAATTTTTTTGATGAAATATAAATGTAAAAACCTAAAAACATATTAAAAAAAATAAAAAGTTTCTATTAAAACATGATTAAAAAGTGACTTAAAACTAAACATTTAAAATACAATAATCCAAATGAAATTTATAAAATTGTATCTATTACAAAATCCATTATAAATAACAAAAATAACAAATATATAATTATAAAAATTACAATGACTGGTTTTATTTAAATGTACAGATTTTAAATTTTTCAATTATCAACAAAATAAATTATTTACATGCATACATAGATAGTATCTACATTATTATATAGTGGCTATTTTTACATTATATTAATATAACGTAAAATATCCAAAACCATACATAATTACTTATTCGAATTAATAACTACATTTTGTGAATTCGATAACAATTACTCATTTTTAATGATAAGATTAGATAGAGTAGTTTATAAAAAAAGTGAAAAAAAATTATTTAAATATAAGTAGATACATTACGGAAATAATTTATTAATAGATTTTTAATTAATTTATGATTGGTGCTCTCCAAAAATTTTAGGGGAGACACTTTTCTATATAAATTAGGAATCGGTTCCTAATGAAAATAATCCAAAAATTAGTTTCAATTTGTTTACTTTATCAATTTATGTATTTTAATTTTTATTAATTTTACTAGCTTATAGAACTACGCAAACTCTTGTAGAAAAAAAACGCAATCTTTATATTTGTTTTTTTTTTTTTATTTCAATAAGGTTTAAACGTATCTACATATTTTTTTGCATACCTGAACCATTTTGTGTTTAGTGCAAAAATATTATTTATTTTATTCTAATATTAATATTTATTAAATACTACACAAAATTCATAATGTTTACGTTGCAATTTTCATGAGACCCAAAAACCACCGGAAGCACAAAATAAATTTAGAAATTTAATAAAACATTACCTTTCTTCAGTAGTAGAAATCAAACTAATTGCACCATCATTTCCTCTTTTCACATTTCTTTTTTCCATTATTTGTACAAGAAATTTAACCAGTAGTTTTGATTTTAAATTAAATTTGAACTTTTTGAAACTTTTTTTTTCTTTCTCCGAAAATCATATGTTCTTTCTCCATTCGTGTTCCAAAATTATAAAATGTCAAATGTGTCATTTTACAAATTTAATTTAACTTGAACGTTATAAGTAAGTGGTTGTAAACTGCAGATAGCATCAACAAAAGTCAAAACAAAACGAAAACAGGGCTGTTTTCCTAGCTATATTTATAGCAGTTTATAAAGGACTCTTTATTAGTGAATGAGCAAAATGGGCTAAATTTCATTTTAGAAATTTATTTTTAATTTCAAAGTTTAAGACAGTATAAGATTTTTGTTTTTCACTCTTATTTGTGTATTATTACCTAAACAAACCTGCTTTGTTCAAGTTTGTTGCTCATGCTCTGTTATAATGTTTAGTTTTAGTTGTATTACATGATTGTAAATTCTTTAAATTTGCATATAAAAACTAAAATATTGCGTCAATATAAATCAAATGAATTCACTTTATCAAATTAAAATTCCAAATCACTTTGCAAGAAACTACAAAAAATATGTTTGATTGCTTGTTTTGACACATATTGTATATGTGCAATGGTTGTAACTGTACATAAACTAATTGAGTGTCTCTGCTCATGAACGTTATATATTATATGCTTCAAAGATCTTGATTCTAGAATCTAGACATTTATATGGTAAACTCTAATGTATAAAAATGTAAATGTGGTTGACGAAATCAAAATTATGTAACTCCTAAACTATGATCAGAAATATGGTTTATATATGTATGTACATATATACCTTTTGTAAAAAAACTTTATATTTGAGGCAATTTATTATTTTGTATGCTTGCAGGAGTGTAGAATTTGAAATTAAGTACAGGATGGATCTAACAATATCAAAGAAAACTTTGACATTGTTGGGGCGTTCTAACCTTGAGGATTAAAGAAATCACTTAAAAAAAATTTTATCTGACAAAATATCCATAACAACTTCTAATAAAAATAATGTGTTATTCGGTATTTGATTATAAAAAATAATACAAATTTTGAATAAGTAATACTATCGACCTTTACAATATATAGCCATTTACAATAATTTAAAAAATTTTTTGCTCGAAATTTCCTGTCCTTAAGACTTAATATAGTTAAATTTCAATTCCATTTGTATTCCACTTGTAAAAACAACAAAAAAAAAACGATAGTCGAGTCTCTAGAAAGTGCTGTCACATTAAGTTTTGATATGACATATAATGTCATATAAAATATCAATTTACACATTTTGTCAAGGATTGAGAAAATTTGTCATTCCGTTCGATTAATTTTAGATTAGGAGATTTAATAGAAGAAAATTGTTTTAAATAATTCTCCAAAAACACACTTAGCAAATTAATCAAAAAATTATGAACGTTTCAAGGGTAAGTTCCTTTATTTTAAAATATGCTTATTGAAAAAAAGCATTTTAAAATGTAATTACGTAATTTGCTGATCAAATCTAATAAAAAAAGATATTTTTTTAAAGGTGCTTGTTCGCAACATTGCTACAACAGCAACTAGATCCGCCAAAGGGGAAATAGCTCCTGGATATAAGGAATTGAAAAAAATTCAAGAGCGATTCCAGGTGAAAGATGGTAAACCAGTATTTTTAAAAGGTGGTCCTATGGATCAATTTCTATATGGGGTTACTGTCGTAGGCTGTCTTGCAGGTGTTGGAGGAATCTTGCAACTTTTATATCAGTTAAGTTTTCCATCAAAACCTGAATAAATGACAAAGATTCAGGGGTAGAATTGTTTGTAGTAAATTAAGTGTAAAAGCGACAAGAAGTAATTTATGTATTTCCCTGCCTTTAAATGTAATTAATTTCTTCAACTCTGTATTAACTAACTCTTGTTAATCGTAAAGCATTTTCAATATTCTATAACAATTAATTCCAATAGCATTTTTTTCAGCTTATTTTTACTTTCTTAAAATTTGCTAATTCATTTCAGTACATTCTGTTACTTTATTTTGCATTTAATAAAGCGGAGAAATATATTCATAAGTAAAACATGTAAAAAATTGGTTTTATTTTAGATTTTTGAGCTTATCAGCCATATTTTTGTAGCCGCATTACTTGATATGACATTATTCAAAAGCATTTGTGTTTTAAATTCGAAATTGTAATTTTTAATTTGAATAGTGTTTAAAATAATGTAAATAAATGTCTTCAGATATCGATTTATTTTATATTGACGCAAAGTCAAGTCATCTGCATTGCAATTGGATCTTAACATAAAAACAAAAATGTCTAGGTACCTCAACATACATGGTTATGCAATTGAAAGAAATTTTCATTTTTCGAATAATTTATTAACTGCCTTTGGCTAATTTTTTAAAATTCAATATAAAACAATATCAAAAAAAATAAATTTATAAAATATTTTAATTTTAAATAAAAATGAAAGGCCACCAGGTCAAAATCAATGTATCTCATTTTCATCGATAATATCAATGGCTTTTTTCAAACAAGCTTTAGTGTCAATTGTATTTAGGTCACATAATTGCATTAGATTCATTTCTGATAATTTATCTATAATATCCCTGATTTTTTCCTGCTTTATGATAGCTTTGACTGTGACTTTGGTTTTAGAAATATCCGAAGTTTGCTCATTTTCTAAGTGCTCTAGTTCGTCGTGCATATCTGACTCAATTTTTAAGCCTTTGGATCGATAATGTTGCTCTATTATCTCCTTAAGTTTATCCCTTGTGCTTTTTGAAATTTTACCTAAAGCCAAATTTCGAAGTTCAATAAAATTTATGTCTTTATAAATTTTAGGACGTCTACGGAAACGGTATCTTATTTTTGTTTTACTAGATTCCTCATTAGAAGTCCTTGTGTCAATATCTTCATTGTCATTTTTACTAAAATTATCCTCTTCTTCAAATTCCTTACTATAGTTATCATCATGAATATCTTTATGTAAATTTTGTATTTCAGAAATTTCAAGTTCATCAGAAGGGTTATGAGTGGTCATATCAGAACTTTTAATTTTATTCTGTTTTTTATTTTTATAAAATTCATATTTCCAAGGACTATGATATTTGTTTTTAACCACCTGTTTCTTTTCAATATGCTTAAGTTCGTTTGGAACATGTTGTGGCTCTTCGGGATATACATTATCCTTGTCATCTTCTACTTTTTGTTGTTCTTCCAATTCGACATTTTCCTCTTTTGCGAAGTATATATTATTTTCAGCAATATAATCTTTAGTTATTGCAAGACCTTCTGAATTTATTTTATATGTTTCCCCTGATTCATCTAATATGTTTGATTCAATTTCTTTATGCATCTCAATTTTAGAATCCACTTCAGACACATCTACTGAGAGCTTTTCACTGAAAATTATATTATCAGAATTTTCCAAAGAAATTTCATTAAATGTTGAAGATCCTGCTCCAAAAGAATCCATTTCGTCTTTATTATTATCATAAATATTCTCATTTTGTAAAACATCCTCAGCTATAACTGGTGTTACATTTTGAACAAATGCATCTTTGCTTTCTTGACTGCTTTCTTCTTGTATTATTTGTTCATTCACACTTTCTGATTCGTGTTTCTTTTTTTTAAGGGAATCCTTATTTGGTATAGGACTCAAAGTATCGATATCTCTTTTTTTCCTTTTTTTCATCTTAGCCTGAATTCTACGTTTCATTATACCGACACACGGTTTTGTGTCAATTTTCACAGGAAATCCAGAACCGTACTGTATTCCTATGTTACTAAAACAATCTACAAACTCTAGAGCTTCGTATTTTTCTGTGATTATTGACCAATCGGGCAAAAATTTACTTCTAGCTTCAACTAGCAAAAATTGAAAAGAGTGCAATTCGGGATTAGAAAAACTTAGATTTTCTTTTTTGCTATACCTAAAAGTATTGTCAGAAATTCAAATATGTGTCATCATATAAAATTAAAATGAAATGCTTACTCCCAATTCGGATTCATTTGAAGAAAGCGCGTCACACCAGTTTGAGCAGCCAAATTGGAAATATGAACCGAAGAATTATGATCATTCATTGCTAATCTGTGGAGACGATTTAGTGCTGCCCCACCAGGGTAATTTGTGCTAGAAACTATTAACAAGAAAACAGTCAACGCGAAATTTAATATTATATGACCACATGCACCAAACATCAGGAATTGTTGCCAGAGGGATTTTTCTCTATTGATCCAGCTAAAATAAAAATTAATGATACCATTACATAATACAGTACATACAAATCATGAAAATGAAAATAACATTTGGATATTAATTTTAAAAAAAACCATAACACTAATAAAATAAGGGGTCGCATAAACTTACATTCTTTGACATGCACAGGCAACTGAAATATTTAAAACTGGTATTACATATATTATGAATCTTAATTCTTTATGAGGTAGAAATGAATATAAAAATACAAATGTTAAAGCTGCGACACCGATTGCTCTTGAACGTCTTTCTAAATAGAAACCCAATGGTAGAAATAACAGTGAAAATCCCATTGAACGAGGTATGGCTGAATAAAAATACCAAAAAAATGGTGAAGTCTAAGGCTTTAATAAAGGAAAATTAAGTGCAATTATTTAAATAGTTATAGTTACTGGAATATTGAAAAAAATGTTTATATATAATCTTATATTAATTAAACACATTTTTTGAAAGGATACACCCCATTCTGAGCTTTTATTGAGAACAGTATTGAACCACAAAACTTTTCCTTCTGGCCAAATGAAACTTCCCCAAAAATAAGAGTCAACTATTATTGTTGATGTTAGTATGCATATTGCGGCAGGTACAGCAATTTTCAAAGTTCTATAAATATTATAAATTTAACATTAAAATTTAACTATTGCTTTTATTCTATACTACCGTTCAATACTAATTTTTTTCAATGTTAAGTCGGACGCCAAAAATAAACCAAGGAATATTATTAATTCAAAGCGAAATACCAGTATTGCAATTCCTGATAACCATATAAATAAATGCATTTGATTTGTTAACCAGAGGCTAATAGCATTCAGAACTAAAATAAAATTTTCATTCAGCATTTAAAACTTATATGCATGTATTATTCGGTACCCAATGGTAATGCCATTATATTTGGAAGAGGTCTGCTCATATAAAACATAAAATGAAATTGAGATATTGTGATCAAAGTGTACCAAATTGAAACAATCGGTCCGAATTTTTTTTCTATTATTTTTCGTAAATTTTCCCATGAACAACTCACTACACCAGCCAATACGATTCGAACTGTAAGAAGCATTGTATAAGAAATATCCGTTTTGTTTTAAATATACATATGTTAATTATTTCATGATATTTACCTACATACTGCATCCAAATTTTCGAAATTCCTAAAAAATTAAATAAGATAACTGCAGGAGTTGAAAGTATAGAAATAAATAATGGTCCCAAAAACGTACGAGGAACTACACCTGGGAATTCGTTGTGATCATACTAAAATAAGTATTTTTAAATTTCAATAGCGCTAAATAATGTATGTATTTTGGTATAAAAGGAAACATAACATCTCATTTTATTACTATTTGAATTAAAACTATATACGCATATAATAATTACTTCACTAATATTATTCCGCAAGTATAAGATGTCGTGCATAGCTTGGATATTAAAGCTTTCCTCCACTTTTGTATATGGTGTATAGATTAAATGAAAAAGGGCAAACGTAAATACTAACCAAATCATCTTAGATCGTTTAAAGCCGGTTTTAGTATATTAACTGAAAACAACGTAATATATTTTTAAGTTTTTTTTTAATAAATGCAAAAAACTTTGAGTTACTTAGGGTTTTATCTAAAGATGTTTTGTTGGATTACATAATTTGAAAAATTTAGAAAATTTAAAGGTTTTTATATAGCGGGGTAAAGTTTCCAACTATAATCCCATTGAAATAATTGGTTCAATAAATATTTCGAAAGCAAAAAAGAGTTTTTTGTTAAACTATTTAAATAACTTTATTAAGTAATATTTTTAAATTTTAATTATTTGTTTTTATTTACCAAAATCCGGCTAAAAATATAACATGTCAAAATTTCCGTAATCAATGTCACATGTAGTAAATGAACACGTCAAAAACAATACTTCATTCAACAAATCATTTTGTGCCTCTGGTAGCGGTTGATGAAACTTAAACTGTTCCATCGATTTTAAATGTCATTTTAAATTTGGTTTGCGTATTTTAATGAAAAAAAATAATTGAAAAGGAAAAATTAAAAAAATAAAATAAAAAAAAAAATAAATGATTCTACTCAATATACAAGATAAGTAAAGTGTAGGTCTGCCTGGTATAAAAAAGTTTTTGCATGCAAAGCGTCTGCAATAATACTTTTTAAACAAGAATGGAAGAAAATTATGACATTCTTATGTTCAAAGTTTTTTCAAGTTTCAAGTTGAAAAAAATTTTTATCAACCATAATTTTTATTCAAAACTTTTTTATTATTTTATGTCTGGCAAATATTTTGAAATTCGAGCTCTATTACCTATTTGTAAAGTTTTTAATAGCTTTCCGGTTTATTTTTAAAATCAGATTTTTTTTTTGCGAAAAATTACCTACATTACGGTTTTATACTTAAGGTTTTTTTGGTTTTATACCAGACAGATCTTGTATTTACACACGAAACGAGATCAAAAACAGGGCAGCTTGGAAAAATCCGTTTGCACTCGTGCACAGCAATAAAACATCTGGATTTATAAATTGGGCGTGCTTTCTTTCAAAAGCGTCTAAATAATTATTTTGTCTTCATTTGTGTAAACAACTTCACTTTATCTATGCTTTCTTTACAACTTTGCAATTAAAAATTAACTATGAAATTTAGAAGTTACATATTTCAAATAATGAAACACAATCGTTAAGATATTTTTAATTGGATAATAACTTCCGGAAACTCTCAAAACATCGCTGGTTAACAACAATTAAACTATCATGCACTAAAATCATTATAGAAAATTTTTGGATTGCACTTTCTAATACTGTTGTGGCTTCTTTTAAGAAGCTTGCACTTCCGAGTTTTACAATATCTGCTAATTCTATAATATTTAGTATTAAATAATTGCAAACATATTTTATAATATAGTGTTCAAACCTTTTAATAACAGACACAAGATTTAAATCCGTTTTTCTTTACTGAATGAACTAGTCTTCACCTTTATATGGGTTAAGTGAATTTTTAAATACATATTATTTATTGTTCCTTAATTGTAGATATGGTGCAACAAATCAAATTTATATATTTGAATTTTTCTTTATGACGCCATTCTTGATTGAATTTAAATTTTCTTCCTTGAAACCAGTACAAAATGTAACAATATAATTCAGGCTTGGACACTGATAGAGGCTAACATTTCCTCAACCGCAAAGTCAGAAAGAGCCAATTTTTCCATAAGTAACCATCAATTTATCCATTACAGCCAAAAATAATTGCCCTTGTAATTTTATATGGAAAAAATTCAGTTAAAAAGTTGGGTCAAACCAATGGTTTGTAATGTAGCACTTTTACCTTCAACAGCTGAAAATACTGTTTTTAAAAACCTAAATCTTTTAAATCTATGTATAGCTACTAACTACATACGCTATTAAAATTGATTTCATTCATACACTAAATTATTTCAAGGATTGCATACATTGTGGATGAACGATTTATGCAGTCTTTGAAATAAAACCAAAATTAATTTAAAGAGGGGTTAACATAATGCTCGATTCGACAGCCATTATAACTTTCATTTATAAAATTTGAGTTTTTATGGTTTCACTGCAATAAATATTTAAAAAAATGCCATTTTTAGGGTTTTAGGTGGGTATAACTTTTAAAGCGGGGGGATAGATAAAAATTTTTTTCTACGGAAATAAGTTTCTACTTATGTATCTATATGTATATCTTTAAGAGTGTACATATCAAGATCTATGTACATAAAAAGTTTCAGCGTTCTATCTTCAAGGGTGTACAAGTTTTGTAAAAATGTTGACGGACGGACGGACGAACGTGTGAAACTAATAACCACTTTTTTTAAAAATTTTTTGTCTCAAAAGTGGCTCACATTTATTATAATTGATGCGCTTACCTATATAATTTTTATTATGTATTAATTATTGAATAATTACAATTATTAATATTGTTGAATAAATTATTGAATAAATGAAAACAAAAGACCGATGGCGCCAGATCAATTAAACAAAAAACTTTTAGATATAAATTGAATAAAAAAAAAAATTAGCTCATACTATTATTGCATTACACGCATTGTAATACAATTAAATACATTCACTTTAATAATGAAATTTTATACCATTAATATGCAATTTTCTGTGCAAATAATAAATAAAATTTAAATTAAATTTAATGCAAGGCGGAGTCATCATGTATTAAAAAATTATTTTATACTTTATGATATTTTTAATATATATATATTTTTTTTAAATTATAATATTTTTTTAATAATTTATCGCTTCATTGAAGCGAAATTCTAATACTTTTCTATCTATTAATAGGAGTACTGCATAAGTATTTAGAAATAAATTATAACTATATACACATATACATACGTATGTACATATATATGGATTAAAATATCATAAATATGAAAACTCATGTTGTAGAAAATTTGCTATCATAAATCTGGTATGGTGTCGAATCTTCTTAAAATTTGGCTCATTAATTTTGCTTCTAAATTACTATATTTACAGATGCGAAACATCTTAATTAAGTTTTCTTGTACGTAATTAAGAAAATCATTCTGGTTCTGCAATTTTATAAAACAAGAGCTAAAATAAAAAAAAACAAAAGATAAATAAATAGATAAATAAAATGGTAAGTGAAATGGTAAAATTTATTTGCTACATTTTAAAATTTTCTTTGATATTTGCAAGAACTAAATATAACCTATCGAATATCCATATTTGTGTTCCTTTATGTAAATACATGCTTAGTAATGCATGACTTATGTGAATTGATTACTGGTATATATACACCCAACTTTTTTTTTACACGGTAGATACGTTCCAACGAAAACCGTGTAAAAAAAAAAACGTGTAAAAAAAGACATGCTACTCATATTAAAATTGAGGATGTGTTCCATAATTTTAAAAACCCGTCTAAGATCAAAAAAAAAGGTTGACCTAAAAACAGACAAATATAAAGTGCAACTAAAAAAATTTTGGAAATTTCCCCAGTTTAATTTTTTTTAACTGGGTGTACAAAAATTTGTTTGAATATCGTGTTAGAATAAATAATTCGTGTAAAAAAATATATTTTTTGCTTTTTGTGGACCGTGTAAAAAGACAGTTGGGTGTACATACTTTTATTTTAAAACTTTTTGCATGCACAATAACAGTAAATATTTGAATGTTTTGAATAATTATCATAAAGTATAATATGAATGTGTGTTTATACGTACATACAAAATATTTTTTAATTGCAGTGGAAATGGCAAAAATTTTATATGTTGCTTAACTTAACTTCAAGTAAATTAGTTAAGGAGAAGGATAATTATTACTAAATCTTAAAAGTTTTTTTTTCGTATTGAATAAGATCTATTTTTTTTATTATCTACATTCTGTTGATAGAGTAATTATATTATAGTTGGATTAGGGATATAATTTCATTGTTCCTCTGTTTAAGTTTTGAAGATCATGTAAATTTTCTTTGGAGTCAAATTTTCTTTTGAGTCATGACTAACACTGAACCATTAAAATTGCATTCCCTAAGTGTGTATATGTACATACTTTAGATAAATGTATATTGGTATACTTATAGATAATATGTAAGTGTTCAAAAAAATGTACTCATAGTTCTATCTCATTTAACTATAAAAAATCTAGTAAAATGTGAACATATTTTTATCAATTTCAAAATTAAATATTTAAATAAATATTAATAAAACACCAATAAATTTTACTTATAAGTACAACACATATTATATAGTTAATGATGAGCAGAATAGGAAAATGTTCGCTACAATTTTATATTTATTTATTCTTTCATTACATTCAGCTAATAATATAATTGTAAATATTTATATTAAAATATGTATTTAAATTAAAGTTGTCCCAACTCTGCCAACATTTTATAGGAAAAATAGAGAATATCATAGTTCAAATAGGTCTATTTTATTTACTATGTCCAATGCCTTTGTATGCACGTATATAATATGTTGTTAAACGTTTAAAAAATCAAAAGAATTAAATTTCAACGTAAATAGATATTTAATATATAAAGCACAAAGTATAAATGGTACGACTATAATTTCATAGAAAATTTAATAAAAATTATATAAAGAATTTTATTGCAAAAAACATTTTGATGACAGACTATGTCGGCAAATCATTTATAATCCTTTTTTCTTATAAATATTTTATTTGTGTAATACACTTGCGCTATACGAAAAATGTACGTATGTATATTATGAATATGTAATTTACGTATAGTTACATATATTTATATGTCGAATCAAATCTAATAGAATCCCACCGATTATATATATATGTATTGTACATACCTACAAATTTTAAAGAAATTTTATATAAAAAATAACATGTTGATATAATTTATAAAAATATGCATTTAAAATATTTAAAATGGTTACGGTGACTTACTGATTCCCCCTATATTAAGACATTTTATAACTTAATTCGCTCGATTTAGATTTCATTTCGACTGCCTCTTTGATTATACTCATTAGTATGTAGAAAAAGTGAAATTATTGCTTTTTTTTTTTTGAGTTACGTACATACATATATACAAACAAACGTGTACATAAAATGTAAAGCAAGTGTTTTTTTATTCCCGGCGCAGGAGTAACACAAAGTCACCGGGTCGAAAATTGTACATGCAATATTGAATAGTATGTAAAATGATTTTTAAACTTTCATTTGAAGCATTGAAAATGTGTTGAAATCAGTAGAATATATTTTCATTATTTCTGTTCTTTTAAGAGATCTAAATCGATGTTATTGTGGGAACGAAAAAAAGATTTTATGAAGAGTTATTGTTATCAAAA